TATAACATCAATAAATACAGAAATCCTTCCACTCCTCTCCAAAGAAACCTGCAAGTTCTCCAGTACCACCTGGTGAACATCTAATAACTCCAGCCAAGTCCCAGGGGAGCCCTAGGAAACCTCACATCCATTAGGAACTTCATGGCTACAAACACGTCCCTGAAGAGAAAGAACATGCACACACTGCCTTGGGGGTTTTCTTCAGAACAGTCCAGTCCAAAGAGCTAAAGACATTCTTCTTAGCTGATCTTCCTCAACCTCAAAAGAGAATCTTAAACCAGATAAGGGACAGTGTGATTTTTCAAATCTTTCCATGTGACAATAAGCTGGAGCTGTGATGTACACAGGTATCCAGGCTTGCTGCTTCTGTGGCACACTTTGTAACCTTCTCCTTGACATTCTCTGTTTGAATTCACTGAGTTATTGACCTTCCTCCAATTCTCTTTAAAGATTCTGCTCTTAACCTCTAAATAGTTACATTGAAAAAACCCACAATAGAGCATTTAACCCGAAAAGCAAATGTGACACTTCTCCTGGACCAAGTAAGGATCAGATTAACATCTAACAGATCTTGCAAGACTTCAATTCAAAGTTGAGTGAGAAAGAAGGAAAATGATTTATGATGAACAGAACAAGCATAAGCCTGAGATTCTACACAAGATACAAGGAAATAATCTCATGATTGTCATCCCCTCTCTTAATCTTAGTATTCAAGAATGGAAAGATATGGATCTGAAGGGTGTCTAATCCATGCCACACAGTAAGGGTTTGCCTATCCCTGCCTGATAGTACCAACCACAGACAGTGTGAACTGAACTATCTGCTGAGACACGCAGCTCACAGCTTCTCCTCAAAGTTCCAGCTGTGAAAAAACCTGAACACCAACTAAAAACAAACAAACCAACCAAAACAACCAACCCATTTTCACTTTACAAGTAGCCAGTGACCAGGTCAGGACATGCAAGGCCAGACACGATGACCCACTGCCATCCTGCCATCCTGCTGGCAGCAGCACAGAAGTTCCTTTAAGTGCTGTATGAAGATCATCTCCAGAGCCTGGACATGAGAGCAGCTGCCCTGAACTACAAACTCCTTTTAGAGGCTTTTTTGCTCTGACCATCTCTAAATGGTAACAGAGGCTGTGTCCAAAGGGCTCCGTTTCAGGGCCAGAGCTCTACAACTCCTTCAGAAAGGGCTTGGATGTGGGACTGGAAGGCAGACTGAGTGAGTTTGGTGACGACACTGAGTTGGGAGGAGCTGTTGAATCCCTCGAAGGCAGAGATGTTGTTCAGAGAGATCTTGACAAACCTGAGGGCTGGGCAATCCCCAACCATGGGAAGTTGAACGTGCGCAAGTGCCGGATTCTGCCCCTGGGACAGGGCAGCCCTGGATGCACGGACAGACTGGGGAATGAGAGGCTGGAGAGCAGTGCTGTGGAAGAGGATCTGGGGGTCCTGGTGGATGACAAGTTGGATATGAGTCACCAGAGTGTCCTGGCAGCCCAAAGGGCCACCGTGTCCTGGGGGCATCAGGCCCAGCATCGCCGGCCGGGCCAGGGAGGGGATTGTCCCACCCTGCTCTGACCTGGGGTGGCCTCACCTCGAGTCCTGGGGTTGGAGAGTGTCCAAAGGAGGAACACAGGGATGGGGAAAGGTCTGGGGAGCAGCTGAGGGCACTGGGCTGGTTCAGCTGGAGCAGAGGAGACTGAGGGGAGACTCCTCGGGGGCTGCAGCTCCTCCCGAGGGGAGGCGGAGGGGCAGGAGCTGAGCTCTGCTCTGTGGGGACCAGGGACAGGAGCCAGGGAAGGGCTGGAGCTGTGCCAGGCGGGTTGGGATGGATCTCAGGGAAAGGTTCTTCCCCCAGAGGGTGCTGGGGCACTGCCCAGGCTCCCCAGGGCAGTGGGCACGGCCCCAAGGCTGCCAGAGCTCCAGGAGCCTTTGGACAATGCTCTGAGGGACAGGGTGGGATTGTTGGGGTGTCCTGGGCAGGGCCAGGGGTTGGGCTGGATAGTCCTTGTGGGTCACATCTCAGGACATTCCATGATTCTAAGTGTTTCCCTGGTCCTGTGTTCAGCTCCAGGGGTTTGCTCTGTCTTTGTTTTTGTGAAGGAACGAGACCTGATGCCCAACTCCCTCTCACCTGGACAAAACACAGACCCATGGGCAAGGGACTGTGGCACACTTTGGTCCAGGACACCCTGCAATCCCTCAGTGGACTATCAGACAACGTTTGCACGTCACAGAACCCCTCAAAAGCTTTGCATTCAGAAAAGCACCGTATTGGGAACAATCTCTGGAGGATCCTGTTAGTCTCCCCTATCCACAACTACCTGGGAAATCAGAGTTTTCAATGCTCTGCAAAAGTATTTATGTTTTCTACTTGACTGCAGAGGTTTGAGGGCAAGCAAAGCTTTCTATTAGAGCTCCTTGGACCTGCCTACCACAGTGCAGGCAAACCACACAAGTGCTTTTCAGTATCAAAAATCCCCCCCAACAGAAAGAACAGTTTTACTAAAAAGAGCACAAACTGGGAACAGAAAGGCAAATTACAGGTTTGTCTGGTAACAACTAGCATTTATTCACCCTTCAGCAAGATCTTTATCACCTACTTGTTTTTTTAATTAAACAGACCAATGAGAAAGGTAAGAAACAGCGGAAGTTTCTTGCCTGTTGTTTGTTTGCTGAGCAGTGTTCCCATTTCTGACACACACTTTGGGCCTGTATCTCTTGCTACAATCACACTTTATTACTATATAATTTCTCAGGCTTTAAGTAACCACTGAAGATTGTCTTAGTTGTGGAAGGAAGGGAGGAGTAGAAGTGCATAAGCACATGAGGCTCATTTGCTTTAAAAAAACCCCTGCTTTGTTTCCTCCTCAGTCTATTTTATCATAACAACATTTGCTTTTGGTCGAGCGGCTGAACCTCACAAATATTGTGAGGGGAAGGGACGCATTGAAACAGTTTTTAACAGGCTGATGAAAGGCTGAGTGCACACATCTAAATTAAAAACAAATCAATAAAGCTAAATGTTCACCAAATTCCTCGATTTGTACAAAAGAGGGAATGAGGAGACACAAATACAAAAAACCCTCATGTAGGTGAGTCAGTCCTCACCTTTGCTGCTACTATTACACTGCATCTGCTAAGAATAATCATGTTTCAAACAAGGAATAAAAATAAACCACATATAAGAGGTAATATAGGTATATTTAGTATTTGTTTGACTCATTCAAACTTCATCTAGTCCCTTTAAACACTAAAATATTTTATGTAGACTTTTTTTTTTTTAAAGATGGCCACTTAACATACTTTCCTTGAAAACCAAATAAAGAAAAGCAACATAATTCACAATAAGATTCCCTTCAGCTTTTCTATTTCTGCTTTTATTCATATCTGTCCTAGTGGTTGATATTTGTCAGTATATTATGTGGGGTTTTTTTTAATTACTGAAGACTCTCTAGTAGCTCAACAGTGGTAAATACTTACAGAAAGCAAGTATGGGACAAACTGCCTCAGGAGCTTTTCCACAATCCTAGAGCATTTCCTGACAGATTTGCATCAATACTCACCTACACAGAACCTCATCATTTGATTTCAGGGTTCTAGTGTGCACCATCATCTCTTAAGCAATAAAATCAGAGGAATAGGAACAATGGTCTGTCTACTGTGTGAAATAATACCTTCCAAACCTTGGATCAATCTGTGAGTTAAGCAAGGACATTTCCAGCATACTTTGGTAATAGAAAGAACTTTTCACCTGATGCAAGGAGTTTGTTTTAGAATAACTGCTTTGCAAACCCAGCCAGATCTGCAGTACCTGCTATAAACAGGATGCAGGCTGCACACTCTGCTCCAAAATGCACCAGCAGAAAGGCAGACAATCCCCACACTGAGAGACAACCATGGATCTGCTCTCTTTGTACTTCCTAACATGTGGATATCAAGGATACAAGATGTGGACTCATGTTTAGTGCAAAATTCTGTGCCTATTCATAAGCAGAAGCCAGTTTTTGTTGTTTTGTTGTTTTTCTTTTATTTGAGCCAACTGAATGTTCCCTCCCATTATCAACTGAGCTCTACTACTGTTGTTAAAAGGAGACTCGAAACTAAGAGTTTCTAAGTGGCTTCAGTTCTTTAAACAGTTTCACTGGTAGTTGAATATTTTGAAAACAACTCCAGGGAGGGCAAAAAAAAAATAGTAGAAGTAGAAGCTCCATTAAGAGAGATCTTATTTTCAATTCAGGAGATTTATACACCTCCCAGAATTTCCATACATAATGGAATTTCCATTCATAATGGACTTGATGCAGGAACAAGCCATATATTCAGAAAGTGTTTTATGTTTATTTTTAATGTGTGAGTGTAAGAATGATCACACCTGGACAGACAGATCAGGACAGGCCTGTCTGGCCTTGTACTCTGTGTCAGTAACTAGTGGCAGATGCCTCAAGAAGAACATCCAAACAAGGGAAAGGTGCAGCCATAAGTCAGACTGCCCTGCAGACACTCAGCTACACAGGAGCCAGAAAGAGTATTTTGGCTTTTGGGACACCCTGTTGCCCCTGTTTCTTTCAAGAATTATCTAGGGGTTTTTAAAGCCCATTTAAATTTTTTTGCATTCACCATATTCTCTGGCAAACATAGAAATAAACCCTGAATTTAGATTACTGTATAAATGTAAACCTCTTTATTTTGAAGGTGCCATTTACTAATCTCATGTGTTGCCTACTTGGAACAGACAGAAATTTTTTTCCACCATTTTAACTTGCCACAAGTGATTTTACAGATCTGTCACACCACTCCCTCATCATCTATTTTCCAGTCTGAAGAATTCCAGTTTGGTTTACTGACAATTTTGCCAATTTGCTGATAATCTCATACCTTCCTCTGTTGTTGAAATATAAGATCATGAGACAGAAGACTCTCAACTTGTTTTTATATCCATTAACATACTGAAAATTGGGGGAACTGGCTGTTAAAAGAATAAAACCTCCTTACCACTGGGTGGCTTGGGTCGTGGAGGGACATTTTTCTTGGGTGGTAACGCTGGTGTGTCTGATTTGCTTTTGAAAGGGTCATCTGAAAATCCCACCCCTCCAAAAGAGGAGGCAAAGGGGTCAGGAGCTGCTGACTACAGGAGAAAAAAGAAAAGAGAAAGGATGTAAGCACACTGGCAAACCTGTGGTTTCATGAAGCTGCAAGTTAACTCAATTAGAGGCATTAATTTCAAAAAACTAAGATGTCCAGAATTATCAGTGGTGTAAAAGGTCAGTGACAGAGGTGCTAAGATTTCATTAACACTCAAAATAACTTATGCCCTCATCACATAATTACTTCTAGAACTTCTAGTCCCAGCAAAAAGCTGATGAAAAAAATAAAAGGAAGTAAAACTCTACTTTTTTTACTATTTGGCAGTGAACAGTCACACCACAGTCTAACCTCCACTCTGATAAACAGGATCATGGAAGAACCTGGAAAAACACCACAGAATGGGGAGCTTTATTCCAAGCTTTTCTGAAGTTACACACAGCTGTGGCAAAAGCTCAGGGAAAATCCCCAAAGCATGTATTTAATGCTTCCTATGTTCAGTTGGCTTTTCTGAAGGACTCTCCTATTGGATAAGAAGGGCACAAAAATGATGCCATGCAGCGAAATTCATCACTGTGAAATGAAGAAAGGGGGATTTGGGGAGCAAAGGTAAAAATTGCAGTCAAACCTTGGCTAAAATTTCTACCTCAAGCCAGACACATCAATATTGGTAAAGGCTGTTGCCACCTAGTGGAGAGTTAAAACCCTCCCCAAAATAGTATGAAAAGCTAGAAAAAAACCCATGAAATGTAATTAGTCCAAGTGATATGATAATCTATTTTATTGTTAACATTTACATAACTCCACAATTTTCAAGCATTACTGTGGAACCAACAGAAGGAGCTGGGCACTGCTGGAAACTGTAAATTCCAAACTCCACCTCAGGAAGGTAACAGCAATTTCCAATTATCCACTTTTTTTTCAGGTGCATCCTGAACCTTTCTCTTCATCTGCTACTTAAAATGAACAGAAACTGCACACTTAAAACATGGGAAAGGCTGACTGACTGTTAAGAGTGGAGTGAGTTTACACTAAGGTTAGTTTTACATATATTTAGTGTGTTTGGTTAATGGTTGGACTTGATGATCTTAGAGGTCTTTTCCAACCTTAGTGATTCTATGGTAAGTTTAGGAACAAGTCAGGATACTATAATTCTATGAAGTAACCAAGGAGCAGATTCCAGGATTTAGAGGAAATATATGGAATAGAAGAATACTCTTCTTACAAATTAACACTATGAGTTAATTTGTCTTTTAATTTTTTTTTAATTTTAATTTTGAATTTCTTCTGCTCATCTGGTGTATGAAAATGTTTGTGAAAAGTTGATTTATCCCTACTGAATCTGCCAGTCTTGGTTTAAGACTTTGCCATATATGACATGGATGGAAAATGCTTTGTTAAGTAACTGGTGAGGCTGATTGGAAAAAAAAGGAACAGAACTGGGTTGTCAGCTGAAGAGTTACAACCATATCACACACTTCAAATAAATATCTGTACATACATTTTTAAAAGGACAGTTGCTTTCCTTGTAACCTTTACCTTTGACATCTGACTGAAGTCTGCAAATCCCTCCCCACTACTGAAAGCACCACTTCCAAATGGATCCAGTGTTCCAAATGGATCTGAAACAGATACAGGGAGAAAGAAGTCATTTTGAACAATACTTAAGAATGACAAAGAATTGGTGCTGCCAATGAAGTACAAAACTGGGCAGGTGACTAAAACACACCTGTATTTTGACCTGGCATGGGATGTTACAAGAGAATTCCATAAGACAACAGGTTTTGTACCAGTTGTTTGGAGGGGGAAAAAAGAAAATAAGAAAAAACTGAAATATATGGTGTCACAAAGACTTAGTCTTATAATCCATAGCAGGACCGTGATGCTTTTTGCCAACAGTTCACAAGACTCTCTATTTTCAACTCCTATATTTGATTCTTCTTTCATAAAAAGATACCTCCTTATTCATCTTCATGAGAAAATGTTTTCTTCTTACCTGGACCTTTTGAAGAGATACTGGAAGACGTAAAAGGATCAGTGCTTTCAAAAGGGTCAGGCTAAATAAGAACAGATATACACAATTATTGTTCTGCTGTACTGTGCACTTGCCTTTTTATGCATATCAAAATCACAATTATTTCCAATTTCAGATCACTCTGTTCAGTGGAAATAGAGTAGGATAAAATCAACTGATTATATGAAATTTGGCTATTGATAGCCTTGAACAAAACACCAAAAACCTACAAGTGAAAAGGGCATCCCACTGAAATACAACATGAGTTACCAGGGCAAAATATGAAAACACATCCAGAAGTGTCCAGTCTTTAAGCAACAGCAATATTCAAGTCAGGCATTTATATAATTATTAATCCAGAGTCTGTATCCTGCTTCTTTTTAAAGAGATGGTGTTTACAGTTGTAAAAGTTGTACTTTTTTCCAAGTACAATCCTATCCTGCAAGACAAACTACCCTCCCACTGACTGAAACTGGAACACTGTCCTAACTCTTGGGTGGCAACAGTCAGAGAATTGCACAAGAGGGAGGGAAAGAATAATAAAAATAAACCAAAAAATCTATCACCTCCAAACAAGCACACACATGTGCATCTGGACAGGTTCAGAACTCTGACTATATATATATATCTATATATCTATACATACATATATATTTCATTGTAACTGTGATTTAACAAGTGTGTTCTGTGCAGTCTTTCCACTGTCCTGGCTCCAGTGTCTGTTGGGGGCTCAGGAATCCTTTAACCAGAGCAGTTCCTCAATTCCATTCACTGTGTGACTGCACAAACCAATGGAATGGAGGGAATGCTGGGAACTAGTGGGTGATGGTGGCTTGAAATTCCCAACAGAGAGGAAAAATATCCATCTTACTGCACCTCATTATCATAGAACCAGAGAGAACACTGCTGATTGCCTCAACAACACACACTGAAATTTCAAGAGTAAAATTAATGATATTTCACCAGTTAGGGGAAAAGTATTTTGTGTTATTTCACTCCTTTCAGCTTTCAGACAACAAGGCTGTCAATAGTAAAGAAATCTATGAAGTGTAGATTTCAAACTGACTGACCTTTGAGGGTAAAGCAGGGGGTTTTGTGAATGGATCTGAGGTAAATGGGTCGCTCTTCACTGGCTTCTTGAAGAAATCCTCAGGGGCAGAACTCCGAAATGGGTCACTTTCCTTAAAGGGATCACCTCCAAAGGGATCTAAAAGGAGCATGAAAAGGTAAATAGATTATATAGAATGTAGCACCTAATGTGTCTATAAAGAACATTCAGTATTTCACCTCATGCTCACTGATTCTTTAGAAACATGTGATTTGGTAAATCTGATTCAAACTTCCAGAGACCTCAATAAAGGGGATATTTGCTAAGTTTGAATTACACCCTTCTCATTAACATGCTGATCCTGAAGGCACAAACCTGTCAGGTTTCTCTGTTCCCACATGCAACCCAAAAACCTGAAGCCAGGGAAACCTGGGAATTCTTTGTGTTTGGCTACAAATTGTTTCTACGACACAAATTGTGTCCTGTCCTCCAAAGGGTTCTTACCTGCTGGGGCAGGTGGCTGTTCTGCAAAAGGATCATGCTGGAATGGGTCACCTACGCAGAACAGAAAAATAATTTTATTAAAATAGTTTTATAAAATAGTTTTATATATATCGTATTATTTATATATAATATACTATATATTATATATAATTATATAATATTTATATTTTATATTAATATGTTATAAATAATTATATATATTATATATAATAATATTTATATATTATTTATATATATTGTATTATAAAAATAGTTTTATCCACTATTTAGCAGGATGATAACAGTTTGTGAAAACATCATTTACTCAACAATTGGCCTTGAAGATCTTTAAGGTCACTTACTGCCTTTGAAGGGGTCTGCTCCCTTAAATGGATCAGATTTGAAAGGATCTTCTGACTGGAATGGGTCTGTATGCAATTCCTGTGTATTATTGGTAAACATCAAGGCTTTGTTCTTAAATGGATCATCCTAAAAATTAAGAGGAAAAACATCATAGCAACTCTACCAGGATGAAAACGCTCAGTTGGCACAGAATTTCTTCTGAATGGGTATCTCAGTTCCTGTTTAACAATCTCAAAAATCACTTTCTAAAGAACTTTCTGAATACATGACTTCCAAGTAGAAGTAATTACACACCAGAAGGAAACACGTAGCCCAGGGCTACAGAGAACATCAAAAGATAACAGTGCATGTAACAAGTAAAGGTTAAACTGTTGCCCATATTAAAATATTCAATTCTCAAACACTTAAATCATGAAAACAAACCAACCCCCAACCATCACACTGGCAAAAAAATTCCTCCCCCACGTTATTTTACAGCTCAGCTTCAGGTAAGACACTTATTTAAAAGATAAAGATACATTTTATGGACTATTTGTGGACTACAAATACAAGAGAATACTACTGAGTGGTCATGCTCTAGATTGCTTCTTGTTAACTCATTCTTGAGCTGATTTTTAACTCATTCTCAAAGCTCCAAGCAGTGATTTCCCCTGACAAAGCCCTTCATGTAGGAAGAGTCACCCCAACATTTTGATGACAGAAAAGTTTCTCAGCAGAGCCCAAATGTAACTTTGTCAAGTTGGAAAAAAATCTCCTGCAGGAACAAGCAGCAAACTCAAGTTCTGAAACCTCTCCAGGACATTAATTTGGGTTGGTTTGGGTCTGCTTTGGGGGTCTCTGATGAAACCAGCCCTTGCCATGTTTGCCCTGTACAGCACTTCCAGGGAAAACAGAGCCATTCCATCCCAAAATAAGGAACACCCAGCAACAACTACCCACTTCCACTGCCCCCAACACCAGAGACAGCACTTCTTTCATCCCTTTACAAGGTGCAAATGAAAACATCTTAATTAATACTTCTCAGAACAGCAGGGAGGAGGAAGAGGAAGAAAGAATTGAGAAACAGGAAAGGGGCACAATGGTTTTAAAAAATTACTATGAACATCCACTGGTGTTTTCTTCCAGTAAGTGATTCATAGGTTTTGCAAGTAAGAGAAACATCTGGAAGTTTTCAGTGGAAATTAAATATAATATTATGCAAGCCATGCAAACAGAGAAACTAAGCAGTGAAGTGTTTTAAGGCCACGTTTTTCAATGTATTGTTGTTTTTAATCTTCTTTGGAGCAGTTTGTTTTCACAGACCAAGTTGAAAGCGGGGCATTAAAACAGCAATGCCTGCTGAATATTTACTATACATGACACATATTTAACCTCACACTAAACCCACAGCAAATACTGTGCTTACAAAGGCTCTGGAAAACAAGTTTCCCTAATGAGGAAGCACCAAGTATGTGTGCAAGCAGAATCAAGCAATCATGCAACTTTTATATTTAAGAGAAGAAACGGGCTTTAAAAAGAATGAAAATTCTTGTGATTTAGAGGATTATTTAATATCTAAATCAACAATAGATACCCAACAGAAATGGACTGGAAAAATCTTTACGACCCTGAAGGATCTTATGATTTGGAAAAAATACTGATTAGAAGAAAACATAATAAACGAGATAAATGGTGCTGGAATTATTGAAGCAGAAGAGAACCATCCATGTATTTTGGGAAGGGAACAATATGTGATGAACACAGCTCACTGCAAAAGAGAAATTTGTAGAGCTTCTTTTGGAAATAAGAAGGAAATAGATGGTTAAAGGGAAGTTTACAGCCAGAGAAGGTAACTGGACAATGTGCAAGAACAAACAAAAACACCTGAACTGGAAATAAAGTCCCACCTCCCTACTGAGACTGAACATGTGACAGGTGACAAAATAAAAGGACCTTTTCTTTTTGGGTCCATAATCACAGTTTGCTTACCTGCCCACACTGTTACAGTTACACAGGCACAAAATCCCAGCACAAGATCTAACAAAAGGCTCAAAAATCAGATTTTCCACCAGCATTAAAGCCTTGCCCTGCCTTGCTGGGATCTGCTAACGCACCAAAACCCAACTATTTCACATTAGGTGCAAGTCACAAGTTTAATTATTGCCAAATACAGTAAGCAACAGTCATTTTTTTTACCATAGTTCCATAATTGCTTCTTTCTGTCTGTCCAAGGCCTTCACTCATATCTGCTAAATTGGTCAGGCTGCCCCCATGGATCCCATTGAGAGCTTCATTGTATTCCTCTATGCTCTTGTTGACTTCCTGGTGGCTCTCCTGCAGTTGGGAAAGTTTACTTCTTGCCTGAGAAGGAAAATTCTCATTAAACACTGTTGCCAGACAGTTGCATTTCCCCCCCACACCAGAATTGAATTTTTTCCTGACTCAGACTGGGAATAAACCAGTCAAAAAGAAAAGGTTTATTTCATGAGCCACCACTTGTTTTCTCTTCTAAAAATAATCTTTCCAGGTGATGTCCAACTCAGCCTTTCAAGAAGCTAAAAATTGTATAAACTCCAGTGAATACCTGGTTTATTTCTTCCTGTGTTGATTTTAAAGATTTGATTATTGTTTCAAGCTGCACTTTTCCAGCCTGGATACTCTGCTCTAGCTGAGTCTCTTCCTGCTGCAGGCGATTCAGCTCTGCTTTTGCTCTGTTAAGGTCATCTTCCTGTAATTTTAAATCTGATTCCTGAGATTGAATCTGCATTTTTAGTGATGAAATCTGAAAAAAGTGAAATTTGAAATAAATGTTAACTTATTAAATTACGAATTTATAATATAAATAACAGGAAGTTGTAAAGCAACCTATCAATTGCTAAAGAGAATAGTTAGAACTTAACATAAAGAAATTCGTGCTGCTTCTGATGTTGCACAAAATCCATGATAAAAGCACAATCAATAAAAGCAAGAAATACTATTTTAAATCACAGAAATACCACCCTAATTACACAGGTAATTAACAGGTGTTACCAGGTTTTCAGAACCTGGCTCCTTTTCCATTCAAACATTTATCAAGGAGCATGAAGTTGATTTTTAACTCTGGTAAGAGTTAAAATTACAGAGTTGCTTATACACTTCTTTCTTCAACACTTTCTCACACAATGTTACAGACTAAGTTTTCACCTGCTATTTCTATTGGCAATTGTATCTCCCTGAAAACCCACTTTTAACTCAACACTGGTGACCTTCAGAGGTTCAAAACCTGCACCACTGCCATGGACCGTCTCTGATGCTTTTCAGCTGCCTTATTAGGTCGAATAAACGTTTTCTATATTCTCAGAACAACAACAATTTCTGTAGAAAGGGACCCCTGGAGATCATCTGCCTCAACCCCCCCTTTTTATGACCACAATCAGAGGTATTTAGGGGAGCAAAACCCTTTCCTGGACCTATGTATTTGTGTGGAAATTGCGATTTATGGTCAAAATGAACAGAGAAAGCAACTTTTTTCATTAAATAAATAGAATTTCCTTCAACAGAAGACAAAAGCACTGTTGGGTACGTCCAGAATTAACACACACTCACCACCTGGGTTTCTTCCTGGCATTTCTGCCTGACATCACTGAGCATATCCTTCAGCTTGGCTTTCTGCTGGTCCATCTCATCCAGCCTGTCCTGGGCATCTTGTTTCTGAGCCTCCAGCTCCTGCAAGGTACTTGTCTCCCTGTCTAAGTCATTCTGCAGTTCCTGAGGAAAATCCCACAGTTTGGAGCTTACATTTAGCTGCTGCCTCAAGGAATGATCAGCCACAGACAAGCAGGTTTTGCAAAACCCAAAAGATTTTCTACGCCCCTGCAGCTGTTTTATTTCTGCAGGAACTTGTATGAGACAGCAGGAAATAAATCAGTGTACGTGGCATTGAGTTATATCCTGATTATCAAAACCAGTACTCTTGAATAATGTTTTCCTAAATTACAGTCTTGTTAAGCACTAAAAAAAAACCCTTTCAAATTGTTCACGTATCATCTTCTGTTTGTATTAATCAGCATCAGATGAAAACATTTCTGATGGAGAACAGGAAAATAAAATTCTTTCTGTAAGTCAGAGGAAAATCCCATGAAAGAAAGAAAGGAAGACTTGCCCAGCAGCAACATAAACACATGAAAAATGCTTAATTCCCATATATTATTTGGATTAAAATGAAAGCTACTAAGGATAAACAAAAGATTTTACCTGAACTTCATTGGTTTTCTGTCTGATTGATTCTTCCTTTTCCCTAATGTCCTGCTCTAGTGAATATTTTTCTCTGTCAGATAAACAAGCACATGTATTTATTATTAGTTAAATAATACAACACACAAAAAGCAATTAAATATTATTCTGGAAACACCATGTAGCTAAAAAAGCCAGCACATATTCTCATATATTTTTTTAAAGGAGTAAAGGTTTATATGTCTCAATTATTGTTTGAAAAATACTATCTGTGGCCATAATCAATGTCCTGAAGTCACCTGGTAGAATCCAGGCTGGCTTTGCATAACTGTAAGATATCAGTGGGAGATTTGTCACCAATTTCAGTGACAAATAATTCTAAAATGGCTAAAAGAAAACAAAAGTAACTGACACATCAGTACTATAGACTTATTTGGTTATTGTTCAAGATTTTGTTAACAGTCCACAACTTTACCTCTGCAGCTGAGCAATTTCTTGACTAATATCATCCAGTTCCTTCACTCCTGTGAATTCTCCTGATCCAACAGAACTTGCACTGTCCTGTTAAGAATGAAACAGTCAATTAAAATGTTGAGTGGTAACAGAAGCTCTTCCTTTCCAAGGACAGAGGTGGGATATAAAATCCTCATTATATGATTTTGCAAAGTGCTACGAGACACATCAAATTATTGTGCAACAAGCAGGAACATGCCAAGCAATTCTACCTGAGGGACAGGAGAATTGTCTCTGTGCCTGTTTAACAGGCAGGAGAGTTGGGACACACAGCAGTGACAGGACATGCACAATGGGAACAAATAAACTGCAGGCTATGGGAGAATTAAAATTAAAATTCAAAACCTAAACCCCAGCTCTGCTACAGTCAAGAGTAAAGTTTCCAGGGAACTCAAGGACAGCAGATTGTAATTTCAGTCTTCTTGAGCCCTGCCACAAATTCATGGCAAGGTCTGCAATTATTCAGGTCATTTCTGCACCCATTCAGGGGTAGATGAGGGAAGATGCAGAGGGCACCTCTTGTCTTTTAGATAAGACTATCAGAAGTTATTAAGAAAGGATCTCAGCACTAGGTACAAAATTGGTGATTATTATAAAAAGGATTGCTCTAAGAAAACCCACTGCAACTGAGCAAAAACTGCAGCACTGAACTCCCTGTTAGCACTAAAAAACAGGAGACCTACAATTTTTAAATAGCATTTTAAAAAGAAGAAAGTACAGTTTGCTTGCTTCGCTCACTTGGAGGTTGCTGTGATAACCACAGAAAGCTTGGCTTTATTAAACACAAAAAACTAAACAAGAACCTAATCAATAAATCAAAATCAGCAGACTAAAAGGTGACATTTTTGTAGAAACAATAGGTGAGTACACAGTTTAAATAATTAAATTTAATTTAATTTAATTAAGTCCTCATTTTGGGTGATCATTTCTTTTGTAATATGCCATTACGTCATCATAAATGAAAATAATCCAGACTAATTCTTCAAGGTAGCAAATCAAAAGCTTCTAATATCACTTTGATTTTGTCAGGCCAGACAGAGATTTGCTGAGAGACCTGCACTGAGTGCTGGACAGGGGCACAGGAAGGTGTCACCCAACATGACTGTGAAAGAAGTTAAAATGAGCTGCTGCATTGCTTAGGATAAGAACCACTTAACTAAACTCACTAAGCTCAGTTTATTTCATGTTATGCTCAGCCAAATAAAGCTCAGTTTATTTTATGTTATGCTCAGCTAAATATACATTAGGTGGAAAAAAATTAGAATTAGTTGGAAATAATGGGAAGCTTAAAGATGTGTTTACTGCTCATAATTTCAGAGAACTAATCCATGAGTAACTTCAACTGTTCCTGTCCCAGAAACTTCCTGACAGAGCAATTGTTGAGGGAATAAATATCACCAGGTCAGCAGCCAGTGCTGGGCCCTTCACACTGCTGTGACATCCCATCATGCCAAGAGCAAGTGGCACAGAACTCAAGAGCAGAGACAGGCAAAGGTGGAGAAATAAAACCAGGTTTTGAAGTCAGCAGCATCATATACAAAAAAAATGGGCATTCCTTTGGATGTCACAGTTACTCACACGCCGCATCTCTGTGAGTGCTGAGATCTCAGTTCCTACAGGGGTCAAGTAACCTGACAGAGTCTACAGAAAAAGGATACAGGAGAAACCTTAAAAGGACCACAGCAACAGCAACAATTAAGTTATTTAGAGCTCCAAGAGGTTTCTGGTTAGGGAAAGCAAAAAAAAAAGTCAAGAAAAATACAGTATAGTTTATAGAAAAGAGGAAGGTATTGACAGGACAGAAGTGTTTATTCATCTCACTTTCAGAAATACAGAGTGGAGGAAAGGAATAAAGCAGGTTTAGCAAAGGCTCAGATGCTCCAGTCAAGTGGTATCAGCAGTGATGGATGCAGGACTGTGGACTGGCATGATACAAGGGATGAATCCCAGAAACTAGGAAGTCATTGCTCTTCATTTAGCCATTAAAAAATTTGATATTTCTACAGAGGAATTTGGTGCTGATCACAGTCAGGGATGGGCTACTCAACCAGCTTTTAATATTTGCTGTTACGAGTTCCCCAAAGTTAAAATTATATATAGAGATAATATATAAATATATACATCTATATTATAATTTATATATTGTTAAAATAAAAATATTTTTAAAAATTAAAAAATAAGAAAAAACTCCTCTATGACAAAGGAGTATTTTTCATGCTAGACTTTTTTCAGTATTATGACTCCTTTTATGGAATAGTTTATTTTATGGAATATTTTACTGCATTTTTCTTTACTTACGGTCTTAGTTGTTGGAAATTTACATTTATTTTCAAATGTTAAAGAAATTTGTAAGGGAAGGTAAGAAAAAAAATATTGGCAATTCTTTACCAAGATATTAAAAAAAAAAAAGTACAAAATTCCTACTTAAAGTCCATTTCAAAGCAAGTAAGTTCAGTGTTATCTACAAATAATCACTGACTTACCTGGATGGGAGTGTTCCTCTCTGTGGGAGGGATCATATCTGGGGATAACACTTGGGGAGGATCAATCCCTTTGCTGACCTTCTGTTGAATGAGATACATGGCAAGTGCAAACTGGTCTTTGCTGAGCTTCCCCATCTGTCTCGTGTCTGCCAAAGCCCTGGTGAGAAAAACAGATCACCATTATAAACAAAAAAATCTTATTTCTCCTCTACCAAAAAGCCTCAAATACACATATACATGTAATTTCCTTTTGATTCATCCTCAGCAGAGCTTGCTTATTCTAGTGAGACTTCCATAAACAGAGCAGGATTTTATTAGACATGTTTAACTGAATAGAGCAGTGTTGCTCTGAGAAAATATTTAAAGCACTAGAACTTCAAAAGACAATCACAGTTCACAGACTGAACTATTCCCCCCCTCCCAGAAAAGCAAAGGGAGTATTTATTTCTCCCTTGATTTTCCACATATTGCAGTATGGTAACAGGACATGTGGAAGAGGTTGGGTTTTTGGTTTGTTTCTGGGGTGTTTTTTAATGTTAGGTCCACAATTCTGGCTGGATAAATAATTACAAAAATACACCTACTAGGGAATTCTTACCATATATGTGCTAGGAGATTCTGAGACAGACCTGAATGCATAAAAATGTCCTTTACTTCTTGGCCACTCACAAACCCATCCATGTCTGTGTCTGTTTTTAAGAAAATCTCATCGTATCTCACTTTTTCAGACATTGGGACCACCCAGTTCACAGCTGGCTGCAAAGCAAAGGGGGACATTTCAAAAGGAGAAAAACAGCCTTTATTATCAACACACTGAGCAGATCCATCACCCAGAGCTGGATGTGCTGAACATCTTGCACAACCCAGTCTGACTGGGAAATAACTATTTTCACTGCCTGGTTTAATTTCATATTCTTTAGCTGAATAAAACACTGATAAACAGCTCTTCATCAGTTGAAAATCATTAGTTCTTTGGAAATACAGATCCAACTGGGCATATTAAGTCTTCATGCTAATAACAGGAGATTTAGAAGGTAGATTAATGATTTCTTTGGTATTAAAGTAGAGACATGAGTAAAACCTTTCCACGGTCTCACTTTCTATGTAAAGTGAAAATTCCCCTGTAAGATTTGCCACCTCATGGTCACTCTGATTACAATTCACTTGTTCTTCCAAGTCTGATTAATGGTTTCTTTGGCATTAAATCCTTAAATTGGGAATTAAATTTCTTTGGTATTCCATTCTTCCAAGC